TTTTTTTATTACACACACCATTACACATTTATTATTGTCCTCAAAAAATGACATTGCAACAATATAAAGTACAAACAATGATAAACAAATGCACATCTATGCATATGCCATAATTATAAGAAATAGCAAATATTTACATATTTTAATAGAAAAACGCCATGACGATTGTATGACTGCACAATTATCGTTGAGCATTCCGTTGACAGTTTGACGGTTTATTTGAATTGTTGGGCCTTCAACACTACCAGTGGGTTTTCAATAACGTTTTTACTTTGTATCAATTTAAGTTCACACTCGTGAGCGGTTACTTTACGTTTTCCAGACAAAACATCCTCTGGCATCGATTCAATTGTGCGCTTTATAACTGCTTGAAGAGAAGCAATTGTCTTTTCAAATGCGCTGCCAAGATCTTTAGTCCCGTAGCTGTGTGCCAAAAAGAGGGAGGCAAAAAGATCACCAGTACCTAAAATGGCAGTAATCATTAAATAAATAAGAACTATAAATTAAGGAATTAACATATACAGGTGTATGTAGTATTCTATATTGTAGACGTAGGGCGCACATTCACCCATAACGCGCATTCGCTGGAAAAAATTTCATAGAGGCTATTGCTCCATCGTATGCAAATTTTTCGGTAAATCTACGAAAATGATAACCCTGAATAAGAATAGCTACGACACACTTCACTTTATAAAAGGCAAAATTTTTCAAATGTTCGTACATCCTATGGCGGTGTTCAGAATTGCATCAAGTCATGGCATCAGTCTCTTTTATGTCTAGACTTGATGGATACGCCTAATTTGCGCAACCGAATTCCAACTCGGTATTCAACCGTGGTTGCGTATATTGGACATTTCAATCAATTATAGTTTAGAAATAAAAGAGACTGATGCTTTGGCTTGATGCATTTCTGAACACACTATATTTAAGAAACACATACACATAATTATATCAGCAGAGTCATAAGCAGGGCTGGCACATTTCAGAAAAAAATTTAAAATATGCGCACTTAAAAAGCACGATAAATTACCAAAATATGCCCCTAAATATCCTAAATCAATTAGTAGGAGATCCGACAAAGGCACGACCTTCACCTATCTGTTTACTTAATGGATGAAATCTTCTTTGTATGAAATTTAACGTGTTAAAAAATCATGGCCAGGATATTTTTAATTAAATATTCAAAAATTATTATTATGTATATGTATATACCAATCGAAAGTATAAAGCCTATAGAACGTGTTAAACAGATGAGTGGAAATGAGTAATATTACCTGCCTGTTCATACCTACCAACACGATAGGTAGGCCAGAAAAAAATAGACAACCCAACGTTTTCACATTCTATAGACTTAATACTTTCGATTGGTATATAATTTGTTCAATAAACAAATGAGTACAAAATTAAGAATTACAGTATAAACAAGTAAAGAAGTATAAGTTCGGGCGAAACCGAACTTTATATACCCGGCGTAGATATCAAATATTGTCGTTCCAACTTTTTTTGAACTACCTTTGCATGATAAGTAGGGGTGCTTAATCGATTTCAAACGTTTTCGATAATATGCAGAGATAGACTTAATGATATAATTGAACCTAGTTAGGTACAAATCGATTAAGTGGTTACCGAGGTACACCTTTGCAGTTTTAAAGTGGGCGGTGTTACGCTCAATTCTTAAAAGTCTATAGGAGTTATTTATTGTTAAGAGATTGTTATAACTATTAACTTGGAGTAAATTAGCATCCCCAGTTATTGAAATATTAGAGTTTTCGTATTTCTGAAATTCACCGTTATACGGGAAGCGAGTGTAATTTTAGTCCGATTTGAACAATTTTCAACAAATTACTTTTCCGTACCAAGGTTATTAAGTGCACCGAGTTTGGTAGAAATTGATAAATCGGTTACCGAGATACACTTTTGTGGTCATAAATGGGCGGCGCCACGCCCAGTATCCAAAAATTTACAATATTCTAATTTCTTAATAGCGGTTATTGTAATCATCGATTTTAAGTGAATTAGCTCAAGCAGTTACTGATTTATCGCAGTTTTCGTGTTTCTGTAAATTACCATATATGGCAGGTGGGCGTGGTTATTGCCCGATTTCAAAGATTTTCAACAGATTTTTTATCTAGACCCTATCCAAGCCTCGTGCAGAGTTTTGTAAGGATTGGTGAAGTGGCTACTGAGGTACGGCAATCATAAGTGGGCGGGGTCACGCCCGTTTTCGAAAAATTTCATAATATTATTTTTTACCACAATTCTACTCCACATACTAATTTTCAACAATTTGCATCTAATATTTACAGAAATATCGCAGTTTTTGTATTTTTCGAAAATACCGTTATATGGAAATGGGCGTGGTTACAGTCCGATTTCGCCCATTTTCAATACCAACCTACCTTGGATAAAGGGCCACCTACATGCCAAATTTCGTTGAGATATCTCAATTTGTCTCGAGTTATCGTGTACACGGACAGCTGGCTAAGTCGACTTCTCTTTTCATTCTGATCATTTTTTGTGTTCATATTCAAAGCATATAGAGGACTTCCAAAAGAAGCTGTAGTATAATTGGTTAATAAACAGATGAACCTTTTCGTTCAGCTTCAATACCTCCGCTCATAAAAGCTTGCGCACCTCTTCGATTTTTCGCAGAAGGAAGTGCCAAAGCAATGACTTCAATTTGGAAAACTTTGTGTGTCGGTAGTTTTAAAAGAGGTGCTTCAGTTGACCAAGGAAAAAAAATTTGCAATCAGTGTTCACTTTTATCTCGCCAAAGGGGCGTACTCCACGGGCACTAAAATTTCAAGTTATTGTTTTGTTATTTTCACCATATTCTGTAAAAGCAAACTGCATTGCAAAATTATAAAAAAGTTAAATATATGACACACTTTTCAATTTAAATTCAATGCAATGTAGAAAAAATATATGGGAACGAATGCAATAGAAAATTTCTTTAGAATTTAAAAAAAATTAATTTTTGGATTAACAAGGACGAATAGGTAATTTTTTAACTGACAAAGTTAGAAGAATGAAACTCGAGGATGTTATCGAGTTTATACAAGTTCTTAACATATATTTTTTTCAAAAACCAATATTGCGAAATTTGAGGATAAAATTTTAAAATGAGATTTTCAATATTTACCAGCCAGAAACTTGAATCTGTTTAAATTCTAGTATTTCCTCATTAATTTTATACCCATACTTCTTCTCTAACCACATTTCTCTGAATTTTTTAAATCATTTTTAAATCACTGACGTCAGAGCGAAAAACTAAAAACGCAATTTACTATATTTGGCCCATGGTTTCGTGAATATATTGATATTTGTGTTTAAAACTTACTATCGCGCGGTGTTATATGTATAATGAGCTAGACATTTACAAAAACATATTAATTGCACAGGCCAACAAAAATGAAAAAAAAAAATGTTGGTGCGACAAATGTTAAAGCTATTTTTGATAGACTTTTTTGTGCTGATTACGAATCCGTAAGTACAAAGGATCGAACACGTACAGGTTTTGAGAAAGTCGAGGTCAAAGTGTCAAAAAATCGGGCTTTTGCAATATTTGAGAAGCTCTAGCAAAGAGAAAAAAGGTGATAGAACCTTCCACTTAGGCTTAGATTAAAGCAAGAACCCTCGACTACTATCCTGCACATTGAATTTATGGTCACTTATAGTCATTTATTGAGCAGTAAAATTTGACTTTTGGCGAAGTTTGAGTCCCTGCCGCAATTAAACAAAAGGTGATAGAACCTTCCACTTAAGCTTAAATTAAGGCTTGAACTTTCGACTACGATCCCTAAAAATACCATCTCTTCGTCTTGACCTAAGATCACTTATAGTCGTTTATTGAACAGCAAAAACTGATTTTGGCAGCATTTTTTTTTCCAATAGCACAATGTGCCAGCATTTTTTTTATTGTTCAACAAATGACTATAAATGGCCATCAAGTAAAGGTGCAGGGATGGTATTTTTAGGGGCAGTAGCGTAGGGTTCTAGCTTTAAGTTAAGCCTAAATGGAAGGTTCTACCACATTTTTACTCTTTGCTCGAGCTTCTCAAATATTGAAAAAACCCGATTTTTTGACACTTTGACCACGATTTTCTCAAAATCTGTACGTGATGGAATTTTTATAATTATGGATTCGTAATCAGCTCAAAAAAGTCTATCAAAAACAGATTTAACATTTGCCGCACCAAAATCAGTGTTGCCCTGTGTATTAAATAAAAAAAGAAATATGGCCAATACTGGTCAAGAAAAGGAGTTTCTGTTATTGCCCTCACGTTCCTAGTATATATG